TTCAATTATTCTACAGCTGGTTTATGATTTCGTTCTAATATATAAATACAGCAAGTAAAATTGTTAATAAAAACTTTTATAGCAAAAGTAACAAAACTCCAGCAAAAATATGCGAACATAAAAAGTCAAGTACGGCTTTGGATCAGTTGGTTAAGGTGCGCTGATTCTGAGCTTCATATTTGGCAGGACCCGAGTTCGATTCCTGGTACTTGCAGTCTCAAAAATAATTATTTACGAATAATTAAATATAAGAATTATTTCCTGATGAAGGGTATTTGGCAATACTCGAAACAGCTGTATGGTCAGCCAAAAATTCAATTAATTAAAATAATTTAAAAAAAAATAAATTTTTGTTGTTGTTTCATTTCTGTTCGAAAACCTCTTTAGTTAAATATTATTATCAAGAAGTTAGAGATGCAGTGCCAAAATAAAATTTCTTTTCAATTATTGAAGTAGGTATAGCAGAGAACTTTCAATTCCACAGCATCTTGTTAATACTTTAACTAAAATTATGATATAAAAAAACTTTTCCTATTTTCTCTTTATTTTAGAAACATCAATCAGATGGCTTTATTTATTGCGCTAATACTTTGCTTCTTCACTACTTTAACAATGTTAAACTTACTTAAACTGACGTTACTTATTTCGAGAGTTTTTAATTAGTACTATTACCATTAATATGAGTAATAGTGTCAATATACCTAAATGCGATATGAATATAATTCGGATCTAAACAGATTTTGAACCAAAACCTTCGATCTTTTAATGGAATCGAACCAAATCATTCTACCACTGATACAAGAGCTAGTAGTTCGTAAACAAAATCAATGGTTTAGAATATCGACTCACATAGTCGAAATATTTAGACATTGTAGGCCATAAAATAGTGAATAGAGTAAAAAAAATAAAAATACCAAATGCAGGAGGCGAAAATTTTTTGTCTGCTCCTCTCTACAATTTTGCAGGGTTCAGAGTCTAACTGTTTTCGTTGAGTTTTCTCCTAACTCTACTCATTTAGCTGTCTTATTCATTTGGTCTCTGGGATTTTAACTGCAATCAAGGTGTAAAAAGTAAAATAGGCAGAAATGAAATAGGTAGAAATGTTTTTCTTTGAACAGCACCGTTAGATTTTCTATCTGTGCAAAATATAAATTTATTTTACTATTAACAAGAGCCAGTTAAAATATATTGCGTGTAGGAATAAAGATTTCTACATGCTTATTGACTAATTCCATTCCAACTTATGTATATCATATTCGCTGGTGTCAGGGAAAGAAATACTTGAATACCTATTATGCTATTATGTTATTAATTTATTAATCATTTCACTCCCAATGTCCAATTTATAAATGACCCAATTGCATGTATTCATTAATCCATTCAGTTGGTTATACGACACAAAGCCACCATCCCACAATTACAAAAAATGTGGAATTTAAAATACTTTTAAGCGTATTGAGATGGCCATAACCCCTTTCACTTCATCTACCTACATTATCTATTCATTAAATGAAAACTAAGAGAAATATTTGTTGCTAAAAATATAAATTCATTGCACTGTACACAAAAAGACGAACAGGAATAGCTGAGGTTAGTAACATATAAGATGTAAAGAAGTCACAGATGGACGAAGTACAAGAAATAAAATTTTCGATACCTATTCACAAATAGGAAGAAAAAAGTTTACATGAAAGATTAGCTAAAATAGAAAATCCCTTAGTTGTTCAAAAAAATAAAAAATGAGGAACTTGCTAATTATGATTTTACCTATTTGCAAATAATGTTGAGCATAGCGTTTTAGAGTATGACATTTAAACTCCGTATGAACGTTAATTGAATTATGGTATAATGTTATACAAATATCTAAATTATGGCTCAGACAATTCTATAAATAAAATTATTTTATTTTAACTGCATTTTACTAATTCATTTGTATGAATTCAATCTTAACATTGTTATCCTTTTCATCACTCGAATATAAACGTTCACCGACATCATTTTAAGAAAAATTTTGAAGTACTTATAATGTGCAATACATATATATATATATATACATATAAGACTAACAATGTTTAAATAAAATAACCCATTTATCTCATATTTTGATAATAGAATGTTTACTAGTAGTTTTATTCTTCAATGTATTGTTATGAAAAATTGAAAATACTATTATGTATAAATAAAGATAAAAAAACAAATAAGATAAAGTTTTATCAAAATGCTTATTGACGATCAGTAGCCCGCAATTTTTCCTCCACAGCTTCTCGTGAAGCTTCAGAAAGATCAGTAGCTTGAATGTACTTTTGAACACCGACTAGGGACTTCTTCAAAGCAAAAAAAGAACTGGAATACAACATCTTCTTTTTAACCTTTAAAAAAAATAAATTACATTAAATTTTATAATACAATATTTAAAAACAAAAAACATTTCTCTTACTTTAGCAGAATCAGGACACCATGACATCAAGAATAATTTTTGTTTTTTAGAGCTTTCCCATGTGCCTTGACATTGATGCATGTACTCAAAATCGAACAGACCATAGCTATAAATAAATTACATACGAAAAAATAAACAGCTGTTATATTTTAATCACATATACATATAAAATTTATTATTTTATTATTACATTGAAAACAATGACGGCATGTGTTTTTAATCACAGCTTATGTATATATCGGAGATATCAATTTCAATTTTATTTTATTACTATTTCTTAGAATTTGTTTTATATTAATGGTGATAAATTAAAGGCAGATACATTGAACGTATCGAAACTTAAATGCTATTCTTTATACATATATATGTGAACATTTACTACAATTTTAAAAACTAAGTATTAAAGTAAAGTTACTACTTTAATAATTATATAATACTTCTGTAGTCCCTTTTAAGTGATCTGAATAGCACTTGATTGTCGAATTCGATAAATGGCTCCGAGGCGTAGCCCCGCCGTTCGTGAAACCCATCCAACCCCAAACCATTCTGACTCCCTAATCCCTCTCATATGTGCACATATATTCGTCTCGTAATTCCTTACTTGTTTTGTGTTTTATTGATCCTTACGAGTTACAACAAAAAAGTCAAACAATAATCTTAACTCAATTTAACTGTAGTTTTGTGCCACTAAAGTGGCAGAGCTCATTAAAATTTAGACTTAAATCACTATATACCCTTTTCTAGTACTCTCTACTTATCTTTCTCATCACAATTTCCAATTTCTATTCCTATACCCCACCGTGATAGGATTGATGCATTTTCTTATTGCTGTATTATACTCGATTCTACTAAGGCCATAATATTTTGCAACAAAAACTTTTGTAAAGTTAAAATTCGTTAAATTTTATCAAATGTATTATTGTTTTTATGTTGAATTATATATTTTTAGTTATATATTATATATTTTCAGTTATACATTATATATTTTTAGTTATATATTAAATACTTTTAGTTATATATTATATATTTTTAGTTATATATTAAATGCTTTTAGTTATATATTATATATTTTACTTCTAGAAGCGGTTGCAAACAATGATAAAAAAAATATTTGGTTTTAAAAAAGTTATACACCCAAGTGTTCTGCCGATTTAACAAGGATGTTTGTAAGAGAAATTTTTCAAATGTAATACAATTTTTACAAATATTATAAAAAAAGCAAACATAAAAACAAACTATTTACTTCTACAATGACATTAATTACTTATTAACTTATATTACTTGTATTATTAATATTAATGAGCATAAAACTGTGAATTAATAATAAATATATAAATTAATAATATAAGAAATTGTTAAGAATTTTTAGTAACGTTTAGTTTTCATCTTAAATCCATAGAAATTAAAAAAAAAGTTTATGGGCATGTGCGAGTTCGAGTAAATTGCAATTTCTTAGGGATTTTTTGCACTGCCCTTATATAAATATTTATTTATTGCATTTATTTATTATTTTTGATTTAAAGTTTTCAAATTTATTTATTAAACATCTTTTAACATTTTCACAATGGTAACATAATTTATCCTAATCGAAATTTTGGTAAATACCAACATTCGCGCCATACCGACATAATTTACTATTTTCCTCAATTTACTCGAACTCGCACACGACCTATATATGATTACTTACCGACACTCTCCGGGTCCACATTTTTGAATATCATCAAGAAATTGGTCATATTCGGCGTTACGATCACCTACAGTCTCTACATCAATTTGTTTTTCGTCACGAATATAAAAAATTACATATCGATGTTTCTTGCCCTTTTTAATTTCTTCGTATGTAGTCTTGCATACATCTAGCACAGTAACACCGGAAGCCTAAAGATTTAATACATCACTTATATTAATAATTTATCTTATTTTATTTTTATTAATGAGTAAATATTAATTGATTATTTTATTTCGAATCGAATAAGTTGTTTTTGGTTATGTTCGAAAAAATTTATACAAATGCGTATATATTATACATATATATATATAAATTACAACAAAAATAAACACTAACATTTTCATTTTGTAATTTGGGCCTACTGTAGGCATAAAAAAAAATATGCAATTAATAACTATAGAGTATGGGAGTTTGCATTCAATATAACTCTTATTAAACTCTACTTGTGTAAAATATGGTAGTTGGAATAAATAGGGTGTGGCAAATATTAACGCTGATAAAACGTAAAAAAAAATTCCAAATCATTTTTTAAAAAATATGAAATAAAGAAAGAAAAAAGCCTAAAATTTAAACAATGCTACATAATTAACGTGGGCGTGTCTATTTATAAAGCGCCTAATAAAATATTCATTAGAATGCTCATTTTTAAATAAAACTATTATCGCAAGGGTGCAAGCGATGCTACAAAAAAACAAAAAAATGCCCTTAAGATAGCAGCCTTGTTATTATATCTGAAATGTTTTTAAATCATAATAAGCTGTCTTTTTTCTTGTAAATATGCACAAAATGTATGGAGTACTTGCAAAATAATGAAGTATTGCTGATTCACAAGACAATACATGTGTATTATTTTTCACATGTATTTATAGCAACTTTACTCAATAATCGCAACGCACACATATACGTGCAATCAAACCCAGTAGAAAAAGTGGTCTTCGAAGACATTGTCTTCAAGACGGTCTTTGATACCGCGTCCGCATTTTCAAGCAAATTTGCAAAACAATCCCAGTAGAAAAAGTGGTCTTCGAAGACATTGTCTTCAAGACGGTCTTTGATACCGCGTCCGCATTTTCAAGCAAATTTGCAAAACAATTGCTCAAAACATGAATGTAAATACTCTTTCTTTGCTTTCTCTCTCATTTTTAGTGTTCATAGCAACGTATTTGAATTTTGCCTCAGATGACGCTATGTTTTATAAATGAAGTGACGCAATAATTTTGAAGTGTAGTAAATAAACATTTGTGAAATAAATATTAAAAAAATCAAAATGAATAAAGAAACAAAATCATTAAACTATGAAATATTAAAAAAAAGAAATTAAATCAAAACAAATGAAATATTGACTTAGTTCCTGGAAAATATATTGATATTAATATTAAAGACAATAATTCCAGTGAAAGTTGTTTAAGAAACAAAACAAAGGATGTTGAAAATAAAAAAACTAAAAACACTTGTGAAAAATTAGCTGTTATATTAAAAAAACACAGGATTAACAGGCATTGTGGTAATGATATTTTAGAACTCTTAAGATCAGAAGGTTTAATTGTACCAAAATCCTCTTCAACGCTTTTGAAAACATATAAAACTTCAACAATTGATGATAGCGAAATGCTATAAATTATTTTATATTAGTTTTAGTTAATTTTAGATATGCTAAGTTATATTAAGTTAATTATTTAAATTAATTTTCATTATGTTTACTAGTTTTTACTAGTTTATTTTTAATATCTTAATAAAATTTATAATAATTTATAATAAAATTTATAATTTACTTTTAAAACTTTTAATTTTGAATGTAATTTAAGAAATTATTATATAAAATAAATAAAAGTACAAAATACAACAATTTCTTTCTACTTATTTAAAGAGAAAATTGAAATTCATTTAAAATTTAAAGAGCGCAATAAAAGAGTAGAAATAAAAAAAAGGGTGAAAAAATTATATGAGCACTGCACTAAGAGCGCACAACTTTCTGTCGAATGCGTCCGTTATGCAAGACATGGTCTTCGAGACGGTCTTCGAGACAGGTACACAAAAATTCATTGAAGACATTTGGCTAATTTGTATGAAAGTGTCTTCAAAGACCGTCATACATTTGGATCGATCGGTCTTCATGTATGTATCCATGTCTTGAAGACGTCTTCGATGACGGATCGATCCGTTTTCTACTGGGTTATGTCTATCTGTCTTGCCTTATTATCCCAACAATACTATAGTATTTTCCGGCAAGTTTCGTTGTACATACATATACCAACATTAATTTTACACATTTATACCAAAATATATGATTTTTGGAATATATTTAATATTTAAAAAATTGCTCCCACACATTTTTTTAGCACAAAATATAAATTATTATGTATACATATATTTTTACTAAAAATAACATACCATTTTGAAGTTTCTGCAAACCTAAGAGAACTAACAAACTTTTAGCGTGAATAAACGTATACACTCAACGTCCTATGTCGGCGAACAAGATCAAATACACATAAAGCCACAAAGGCTTTTTAATGGTATCAAACAAAATCTATCTGATATGGATGCCACATTAACAAAAATTTTTCCATACACAAAAATCCGATAAACATTCCAACCATTGTAGGTATTTTTAGTTTTACACAATGTGATTTCTATACTGGTTTATGTGATATATAGATAGGTTAATAATATAAAATTAACATTAACTTCTCAAAACTCATTTAATATTAATTTTTATTTTACATATCTTGAAATATATTCCCTAATTAAAATTTATTTCTGATTTAATTTTATATAAAATGTTACTTAAAAATCAACTTAAAAGTTTAATTGATGCAATCATTTCAAACTTTTTTATAAGTATTCAATTAATTAGTTAAAAATTAATTTACTTCTCATAAAAAAGAATTAATTCTGAAAGTGTTACTACGTTTACGCAAATCTTGAAATCACTTTTAAAACTGATTTTAAAATTAGTTTTTAAAGCATTTACCCACAAGAATTAAAAGCACTTTTAAGATAGCTGTCAATCAGTCAGCTGTTCAGCGGTGTTGATTTTAAACATTCTAAAAAATTTTAGAGTAACACTTCAAATTATTTTACTTTTATAGCAAAAGAAAAATATTATAATCAAAATAGCGGAAAAATATAATACAACAACAATGAAGATTTTAGGAATATCCCGTATAAAATTTACAAAATTACGAGAAATACGATTACAACTCTTTAAAAAAAATGACAAAACTTTCGATTTATATTTCTTGGCGAACTATTTCATAAATATGGTGTAAATAGTGTATATTTCTTGTCGTCCAACAAGTTTACTATTAATTATCTGCAAATACTTTAATTAAATACTTTTCTCTTCTTTTATCCAATTTTGTCTTTTTATTTCCCTTTTTTCTCGATGTTTTAAGTTTTTTTTTGTCAACAGTGTTATTTGTCATAAAATTCATATACCTATTGACAGTTAACAGTTGACAATTCAGCTGTTTAGGTACTGAATTTCAAATCGATATTAAGAGCCTTAAAACAACTTTTAAGGCTCGCGTAAACGGAATGTGTATTTATGAAAGTGCATGTGTACTGCAAATAGAGCTGCCAGATAAATTTGATTTAACTGATTAATCAGATTTTATAAAAGCTGTCCTGAATCAAGTTTAAACTCACATGCTTACGGTTCTCTACTTCATGTTTTACTTCATAACTATTTTGTTTAATACACTGGATCTATATAATAGGAAATATTCGAGCAACATTAGTGTTTAAATATGTTCAACGGACTCGCTGTGCTTATGATAAATGTTCGATTACAAGTATACTCGATCTTTATAATGGTTGAAACTTCGATAAGCTTGAATAATATTTGAAATACATTAGAGTAGACACTGCCAAATAAAGCGTAAACAATACATTTTATATATAAAAACCATCTATTTTCATCTGACACATCTCTATTGAAAACAATAGTTTATATTAGGAATTTAGTTTCTTTCGTCAAAACGGACGTTAAAAATCAAATTTATATATACATATATAATTAAATAAATAATAAATTAGTAATGTGGAAATTTTTAAGCAATAGTACATTCACACTGTCTCATTAAAGTACTTGCTCGTTTAAATTAATGAGTGAACGTTCACATTATAATGAGTTCATTTATGCAGCTGATAGAACTTTTATAAACTTTACTTAATAATATATCACACAAAAAAATAAAATATATAATTGATATATTTAATTACTTATATACATTTTATGTATCAACTACATATTTAAATTATAAAACCTCAGATTTTTATATATATACCGGGCTTAGGTCGTTTATTTAACACATAGGTTTATAAAAATGTTTTTTTTATAAAACAATTAAAAAATTTTTACACTTTTTTCCAACTGTGTTAAATGTTTAAATTTATTTAATTTTTATACAAAAATTATATTAATACAAATATTTCGGTCTACTTCGTAGACCATCTTCAGTGTATATAAAAGATTACATATTTAATTATATGTAAATAAACATATAAACATACAATCAAAACAAAAACCAAAAATGACAAACATTGTTGTCTCTTTCAATGTTTGACATTTTTAACATTTAAATTTATTTGAACAAAAGCAAAACATTAATTTAAAAAAAAAAACAATAAAATTGAAATTTAAATCAAAAATAAATATACGAAAATTAAATTGGTAACAATGGAAGATAAATTAAAAACTTTTTTTATATAAAACTATAAATTTATATTAAATTTTTTATTTATGGTTAATCAGAGACCTGTAAATTTGTGCAAGACCCTCTGTGTCTTTTTTGTAGTTTAGTCTCTGATTGTCTGGAACTTCAATAATATGTAACATTTCAAGCATTAGCCTACGTCTGTAATTAGGGTCTTTGTTGATGATCTGTACTTCTTCAAAATTTGGAGTATGGTTCATCATAGAGCAATGGGTTGCTAATGCTGTCTTTTGGTCAACGGGAGTTGTTGAAGTAGACCGAAATATTTGTATTAATATAATTTTTGTATAAAAATTAAATAAATTTAAACATTTAACACAGTTGGAAAAAAGTGTAAAAATTTTTTAATTGTTTTAAAAAAAACATTTTTATAAACCTATGTGTTAAATAAACGACCTAAGCCCGGTATATATATAAAAAACTAATTAAATATCGGTCGTAATACCAATTTATTAAAACCTCAGATTTTAATAAATATTTACTTCCTCAAGGCATGTTTACATCTTACTTATAAAACATATGACACATATATCAAATTTCCATCATTTCCCTTGTTGGAAATTTATGCTTTGATGAGCAAAACCGCCTAAATGGGACAGTGTGAATGTGGTATAACTCATAATCAAGCTTAAAAAATTAATTAATATAAGTTATATATATTATTTTAATATATTGTAAACATTTATGTATTTGTAATCTTATTTAATATACTTACAATTCCCAATTTTTCGTAGATATTCGAAATCATGATTACACAACTATTTTTATTGTTGATTAATTCAATTAACTTTATTATGCCAAATGGTAAATTTTGCTATTTTGAAGAGGTAGGTATCTCAACTTGGCAGCTATAAAGATTTAAATGAAACAATATTATTAAGAAAGTAAACATAACAGCGGCTTATTTAAAAATTGTTTTACTTGAACAGTCCAATGAAGTTCTTAACGTTAATCTAGAATATTGTTTTATTATAAATTCATTTTCAGCTTGATTTTCATGTGCAAGTTTTTTTTTTGACTTTAAGAATTTTCAATTAAAAATTTTGATTTAAACAGCAAATTTAAATATTAACAAAAAATTTTTGAAATATTACTTTACATATTTTTGATAAGTTAAATCATACTATCTAAGTTTATGTTTATATTCTTATAACAGAGTTTTTAGTTTAAATTTTGTGATAAAGTATGTTACTTGGCAAGAGCCAACTAATATGTAGTTATTACATATTGTAAAATTAATTTATACTAAAAAAAAAAAGAAAATCTGATTTTAGATGTCTAACGCTAATATTGTTTATTTATATTTATTTAATTATAGTTTGAAAAATTTTTGGTTTCTCTTAAAACCTGGCTTAGTATGGCCTTAGTATGGCCATTGCAATGGCCTAGGAACGATTGCGTTTTTTACGAAAACAAATGGTAATATATATTATTTTTCATTTAGTGATTATAAATTCTTCATTTGTTTCAAAAATTCGGAATGTTATGTTCTGTAAACATCATTTGGCTTGTATTACTCTTGACTATAAACCTACGCTTGGTAAGCCTCTCGGACTGTGGTGCTCGCTAGATTGAATTGGGTGTCTGCAATTTTTTCTTTTACTCAATGATGTCTAAGGGCCATATTATGCAGAGTCTCGGGCACTTCAAAGTTCGCTCTTTCGGGCTATGCCGAAAATGAATGTTATGCAGTGTCACACCAGTATTGCCAATTTTGTATTTTTACTACTTTTAAAACGAAATATTTATTTTTACTCTAAATTTAAAACGAAATATAGATATGCTCACTTTCATTTTGCAACAAAAAATAACTAGCAAGAAAAAACTCATAGAGGCTGTAATAATGTTAACTTATTATTATATTATCTTATAATAATTGTTAACAGTTCTTAACAGTACTTATGCCTTTCTTTAAAATCGGAAAGTGTAATAATTATATTATTAGCGATTTATAAAAAAGGCTGTGTTGCTTGTTCTAGGATACTTAATAAACTTTTATTCAAACCAGGTGGAAAATATATGCAATAGTTTTCTAAATTTTTATAAATCGATTTTCTAGCGCTATACAAAATTTCAACACTTTTCGTATATGTTCAAAGAATGTCTCTGGAACTTTCTATACAGATGATAATATTTACCAAAACGTTTTCTGTTTTTGTTTACTACGGCTTTATATAGTAAACACTTTATATAAGGTTTCACTAAACAAATTGAAATGAACTGTTTGTTTGCAATTTGTTAATCAATCAGGCGTTTAGCCTTCCATTATAAGACTATTTGGATTTTTTTTATAGCTGCCGATTAAGCTGCTTATCCACACCCTTAAATAACTTTAATTCGAAAAACAAGCAAAACTAGGCTAAAAGCTTTCAGCTTTGCTTTGATCTTAGTTAACAGGAACAGTATTCCAACTTGGATGTTGCCAAAATTAAATGCCCAAAGATTGTACTAGGTAATAAACTTTAAGAATAATATAAGTACTTGGGGGAGCACCACTGTGGTTGTGGTTGTTATTTCCTACAAATTTTACTGCTATGAAATAAAATATATTGTTCGGGAGTAATAAAATTTGGTTGAGAATATAAATTATTATTTGAAACCTATTAATCACAGAGATAATAAAGTTGAGTTATAGTATTTTTGACTATAATATTAAATTTTTTTAATTATATTTTCTAAACAATATTCTCAAGAAACCTATGTAAAGATAAGCGAATAAAGCACGGTCTTATGCGTTTATAGGCCTTTTCGGTGTCTCGGAAGCATGGCAAAAAACAGCAACTTCCTGGTCTATACTGGCTAAAATGTACGCAAAACAACAACACTATTTTCTCTACATCGGTCATTAAAAAAAAAGTGTTACCAATATTAGTTGGAAATTCCAACGAATATTGCAATCTTGTGTCAAAAATTACATGTAAATAAAAATTCAAATTTCATAAATTTGATAATTGGAAAAAAAAGGAAAATTTCAGTTTTTTATTTTGTAATTTTCAATATTTTTACCATTCCTTTTAATTTTGTATTCATTTTCATTTTCAATTTATGTTATTTTTATAAAAAATGTTGTTTGTTTGCGTTATGTGCACATATGCAAGAATTGCTATTTACAAAAAACTTAACACTTGACAGATTGCAACAGTGATGCCAATTTCTCGGTTAGCGAATATAGGCGAACATGCATTTTTTGCCATACTTGCGAGCAACCGAAAACGCCTATTATTAGTGTTTTCGCCATTCTTATGTTTATATGTAATTTATCTGATTTTAACAACTTTTTTGTAAATCATATAGTATATATGATATAGTATAGTAAAATATAGTATATATATTAAACATTTATTATAAATATATATATGTATGTTTATATTTTATTTATTACAATTGTGACATACAAAGTGTATATATTTATTGCCGTATGCATATGATAAGTTCAAAATGCGTGGTATGTAGCAGAAGACAATTATTAATTGCCAAGTACCCTGTGGTTTGTTCTTTATTTAACATTTGTTGTGTTATCGATTACAGATACCACTGAACCCGAAACTGTCTCTTGTTTTCTTTCTTTTATAGGCTAACTTTTGCTATGACGGTATGTTTCGTGCAAAGTTTAAATAAAAATCTGTAAACATCACGCATCTTATAGCGAATTAAGAAATGATTTTAAGTAAAAATTTTAATTTAAGTATTTTGATCTTTTCTACTTTTATATTTTGTATGTGATGGACAGCCAGCAGTAGTACAAGAGAAAAAAAAGATCAAGCGCGATCCGGCTAAAAATCCGATGCGATCCGTTAGATTTTCTATCTGTGCAAAATATAAATTTATTTTACTATTAACAAGAGCCAGTTAAAATATATTGCGTGTAGGAATAAAGATTTCTACATGCTTATTGACTAATTCCATTCCAACTTATGTATATCATATTCGCTGGTGTCAGGAAAAGAAATACTTGAATACCTATTATGCTATTATGTTATTAATTTATTAATCATTTCACTCCCAATGTCCAATTTATAAATGACCCAATTGCATGTATTCATTAATCCATTCAGTTGGTTATACGACACAAAGCCACCATCCCACAATTACAAAAAATGTGGAATTTAAAATACTTTTAAGCGTATTGAGATGGCCATAACCCCTTTCACTTCATCTACCTACATTATCTATTCATTAAATGAAAACTAAGAGAAATATTTGTTGCTAAAAATATAAATTCATTGCACTGTACACAAAAAGACGAACAGGAATAGCTGAGGTTAGTAACATATAAGATGTAAAGAAGTCACAGATGGACGAAGTACAAGAAATAAAATTTTCGATACCTATTCACAAATAGGAAGAAAAAAGTTTACATGAAAGATTAGCTAAAATAGAAAATCCCTTAGTTGTTCAAAAAAATAAAAAATGAGGAACTTGCTAATTATGATTTTACCTATTTGCAAATAATGTTGAGCATAGCGTTTTAGAGTATGACATTTAAACTCCGTATGAACGTTAATTGAATTATGGTATAATGTTATACAAATATCTAAATTATGGCTCAGACAATTCTATAAATAAAATTATTTTATTTTAACTGCATTTTACTAATTCATTTGTATGAATTCAATCTTAACATTGTTATCCTTTTCATCACTCGAATATAAACGTTCACCGACATCATTTTAAGAAAAATTCTGAAGTACTTATAATGTGCAATACATATATATATATATACATATAAGACTAACAATGTTTAAATAAAATAACCCATTTATCTCATATTTTGATAATAGAATGTTTACTAGTAGTTTTATTCTTCAATGTATTGTTATGAAAAATTGAAAATACTATTATGTATAAATAAAGATAAAAAAACAAATAAGATAAAGTTTTATCAAAATGCTTATTGACGATCAGTAGCCCGCAATTTTTGCTCCACAGCTTCTCGTGAAGCTTCAGAAAGATCAGTAGCTTGAATGTACTTTTGAACACCGACTAGGGACTTCTTCAAAGCAAAAAAAGAACTGGAATACAACATCTTCTTTTTAACCTTTAAAAAAAATAAATTACATTAAATTTTATAATACAATATTTAAAAACAAAAAACATTTCTCTTACTTTAGCAGAATCAGGACACCATGACATCAAGAATAATTTTTGTTTTTTAGAGCTTTCCGATGTGCCTTGACACTGATGCATGTACTCAAAATCGAACAGACCATAGCTATAAATAAATTACATACGAAAAAATAAACAGCTGTTATATTTTAATCACATATACATATAAAATTTATTATTTTATTATTACATTGAAAACAATGACGGCATGTGTTTTTAATCACAGCTTATGTATATATCGGAGATATCAATTTCAATTTTATTTTATTACTATTTCTTAGAATTTGTTTTATATTAATTGTGATAAATTAAAGGCAGATACATTGAACGTATCGAAACTTAAATGCTATTCTTTATACATATATATGTGAACATTTACTACAATTTTAAAAACTAAGTATTAAAGTAAAGTTACTACTTTAATAATTATATAATACTTCTGTAGTCCCTTTTAAGTGATCTGAATAGCACTTGATTGTCGAATTCGATAAATGGCTCCGAGGCGTAGCCCCGCCGTTCGTGAAACCCATCCAACCCCAAACCATTCTGACTCCCTAATCCCTCTCATATGTGCACATATATTCGTCTCGTAATTCCTTACTTGTTTTGTGTTTTATTGATCCTTACGAGTTACAACAAAAAAGTCAAACAATAATCTTAACTCAATTTAACTGTAGTTTTGTGCCACTAAAGTGGCAGAGCTCATTAAAATTTAGACTTAAATCACTATATACCCTTTTCTAGTACTCTCTACTTATCTTTCTCATCACAATTTCCAATTTCTATTCCTATACCCCACCGTGATAGGATTGATGCATTTTCTTATTGCTGTATTATACTCGATTCTACTAAGGCCATAATATTTTGCAACAAAAACTTTTGTAAAGTTAAAATTCGTTAAATTTTATCAAATGTATTATTGTTTTTATGTTGAATTATATATTTTTAGTTATATATTATATATTTTCAGTTATACATTATATATTTTTAGTTATATATTAAATACTTTTAGTTATATATTATATATTTTTAGTTATATATTAAATGCTTTTAGTTATATATTATATATTTTACTTCTAGAAGCGGTTGCAA